CATCATCGGTTGCTATCACTGTACACACTTCACTGGTTACTATTGTACCGTTTTGAGAGGTCTACCTTCCCGTCTTCTTGGCGCGCCACCTTCGTTGGCGTTTGGTCACCCCCCAACCACAGTTGAGTCAGACCCGACAATTAATACTTCATATTCACCCTCTCATTCTGCCGTCCATTCGAATCTCTATGTCTTCGAATTATTCACTTTTTCAGCAAATTTGGCCCCTTTTGCCGTCGGACAAACTGACAACTGGGTGGCTGCCACTCCGCCCCAGCATTTCTTTGTCTGGCAATTCAGGTCGGTTTCCCACCCCTCGTTATTGTGCTACTCTTCTTTAGCTGTGAGCGAACAACGTATTGATGTACTAATCCTGCCGGTCGTACTTCTTGTATTGTGAGGAGAGTTGTTGCTGGCACTCCACTAAACTCAAGTGCGTCACTGTGTGTTGGCATCTTGACATTCGCTTTTTCTTAATATTTCATTTCCAAATAGCTTTCCTGCGCGCGCCACCTTCACCGCAAACCATCAAAGCTATACTCCATTTGAGTGTGTCTTGTTTTCTCCGTCGTCGCCCTGTCATTGCGTATATCCTTGCAATGAATTCGTGCTTTCTTCTTAATTTCAGTGTGGGTGCTTGCATGAATACTCATATGTGGGGTATGAGTATGCGTGTGCGTGCATGCTGGCATTAATACAGGATTATAATGACAGCTGGCGGCAATCAGTATAATGATGAGTGAATGCTTGCATAAATTATTTGCTTCATATTGTTGTTCAACATACATATGTATGTATGTACGTTTCTTTGGCTCCACTTAATGTTGTTTTATTAATTTTCTGCTAAGTATTTCTAAGAATCATGCTTTTTTACATAAGAAAATTACTTTTTATGTTCCAAATGCGAAAACTAAAACATCAACGGTATCGCATACCAAATGTATCGCTTAGCTTTTAGTCTAATTACTCTACATAAAAGAGGGGGGCAGCATCCACCCGAAGGCGAAATAATGTTTCTACAGTAGGAGCACATATGTAAATATTCCCCAAATCCGTTCTTTTTAACGTCTAAAGGGACAGGCTGAATAATATCAAAATAAAGTTAAAACAATAGCTAAAATATTTAGTTGTGATCACCGGTCCAGTTTTAGTTATTAGCAGTTATTCAATTCTGTGGCATTCGTGCTGTTTCGTGAACCACAATGTGCTAAATTAATTGTTTCAATAGAGACGCGAAGCAGTTATTATTAGTATTTATGCCGTCAACATGTTACAACATTGGAAATTAAATTTAGCTATATCCACTCGACCACGACGATATTAGAGCAGCAATAATGCGATTTAAAGCAAACGGGCCCCCGGAGCCGTCAGCATTCTGGCTGTTAAGCAGAACGTTTTCAAATGAATTAATGGCTGAAGACTAGAATCTTAGTGTACTTTGTCCAATCCACAAGAAGGGAGACCCCGTCTTTGCGCCAATTATCGCAGAGCAAACCTACTCAATATGGCGAACAACGTCTTGTCGACGATATTGTGCGAAATACTGAAGCTCCTCACGAAACAACTGATTGAATTTTATCAGTGAGGCTTCGGACCAAATAAGTCCGCCGCTGAGCAGATTTTCGCAGCACGTAATGCTGTGTGCTGTATAAGATACAAAATATGGAAATCGACACACACCATCTTTTTCTGGATAACAAAACCGCTTCTAATAGCAAAATTTGCGATCCCCCCAAAACTAATACCGCTACGTAGAGCGACGTTAAGATAAGCATACACGGTAGAGAAAAAAACGCGAGACTTAGACAAAAATCTCGCTAGAGACGTGTACGTACGAGAGACTTACCTACACAGTCTACGTGAGAGTTATTTAGCAAGACTTTTTCCCGTGTATACAGTCCTTCGCTGTTAGATCGAAAACTCTACGACAACTCTATGCTCTATTTGGCAAGCTAAATAGAGTTTTTTTCTCTACGGAGAAGTATGTATGGTACAGTGTTGACTATGAATTTCATCACATTTTGTTAAAATTTGAAATGGCTAACGATACGCGCACACTGCAGCCGGCATGCCGCGGCATCGGCCGAATTGTGCTCGGCCTATATCGGCTATATGGGGGCGATATGAATAAACACTTGTGATTATATGAGCGCTCTCTACATAAAGCGATAACCGGACCGACATCGGCCGTTGACGTCCGACAGTGACGATAAATTCAAATATGTTTGTTTTTCTCGTCCGATGTCAGGTGAAAAATACCAAAATGGACTGCGAAAAATTAACTTATTGGGTGCAAAAACAAAAAAAAATACATATAAAATCACATGTTTAGAGTATGTCAATTCAAATGTATCCAAATATTTCACTGCTTACAAAATTGTAATGAAAACTAGATTTGTGTGTACAAATACGGCCGGCAAATAATCTGGTTAAGTGTGCGCATCAGTTCGGACGGTCAAATTGCTCGGCCGAAAAAGGTCGGCCTATCGGATGCAATGTGCGCCTAGCGTAAGACATTAAATTGTTTATTCGGTACAACCACACCATTTGAGGTATGAATTCCCTCCTTTTGGAAAGAGGCATAACCATTGGTTAAAATGTAAAGGGGTATTCACCAAATTGAGCAAATGGCCTGGCACTCTGGCAACAGTCGTTGCTTGAGCTAATCTGCTCTTTTGCCAGAGTGCCAGGCCACTTGCTCAACTTGGTGAATACCTACATATACATACATAGCATTTCGGCTGGAACTGCTCGCTGAAACTCTTTTCAAGGGAATTTTAAATATTAAAGATTGTTTGCAGTGAGTTCAAAAGTACACACAGACCGAAGAAAGGGGTTGCCATGTTTAATTTTTAGGTACATTTGTCTACTTTTAGGCACAATTTTTTTCGGAAAATAAGTAGAATTTAAAAATTCAATTCTTGTCCAAATTGCCAAAATGTATTTTACGACGTCAACAAATAGGTGAATGCTGTCAAATAGACGAAGGGTTAGCTCTCCGCTGATAGCGTCAACTATATTTTCTACATCGTGGCTTTGTTATATGTGATATTGGCAACGTAGAGCTCACTATAGATATGTTCATTACATAGGTATGTACGAGGGTTGATATTAACATCTTTCACCTTAAAAGCTTCTATTGTTATCAGGCGGCATCTGACGGTTCCATTGAAAAGTTTGGTATATTTTTCTATAAACGTCCTCAGGTGTTTAAAGTGGCTTTAAAAATTCATCTCAGAAAAAAAAATAAAAAATCAATTAAACCATAAAGATTTTCGTACGATTAATTTTCACAATTTTCGACGTGGATTAACAAGACAAGAATGCATCGATGAACTAAAATCATGGTACTGGGAACAAGCGCCATCCTTTAGCACCATATAAAACCGGTGAAAAGAATCTTCTATTGGTTGCCCATCCACGAATTCCGGGAAGGTTTTGACGTAGAATATGTCTTACATTTCAATATGAAGGCTATGCCCAAATGTTGTATTTGTAATTTTTAGAGCTTCACGAAAACGCTTATTACACGAGAACTAATGAAGCACTTTCAAATAAAGGTGTGGCGTTTCAAAGATAAAATTCCAAACCTATCGACAGATTCATTTTTGTATCAATTTTGGGGTCAATTTTGAGCCTTTGAAGTGCTCTAGCAACTTATGATTTGAAGATATAACTTTCATTTTCGGGATATAGGTTCTCTGGAGCAATAGAAATATTATCGTGTACAAATTTTATATAAAAGTATAAACAGAACCAAATGGCTGTGCGAATTTCGTCGATCGGAGCGATGCCGCTGGGTGATGTTCGCCGCAACATTTCGCCCAGTAAAACAGAACGTATCAGTTGAATGACAAACAAAAAATATAAAAATACAAAGCCGAAAAGATGAATCACCAAATTTTGCCATTCTGATTATTGCTGATGATTATCTGCTAGAAAAAAGGAGGAAGCAAAGTTTTCACTGAGAGCTGATTTTATGATCGGCGGCAGCGGCAAAATTAAAAATAAAACTATTCTTGCCGAATTTCGTCAGACAAACTTCGTCGTCGCTTTGGTTGTGGGAAATCTCATATACTGCAGTGTGTTTTAATTTTGGCAGCGAACTTTCACCTGTGTAAAAATTTGAACGCAAAGTCTTTAATAAACCAAAAGAATTATTAATGTAATGGTTTTTGAAATATTGTGAATAGGGTTGCCACCTGTTTTAAAATTACAATTTAATTAAAGTATGCAAAACGTCGATGTTTTTGCATAACCGCCCATCGACCAGTTGCAAAACCGCCTAAATCACCGTTGTGACAAATATGAAATTTGATAACCCTGAACTCCAGACATCGAAATTTATGCATAAAAATCGTAGAATCGTTATTAAAACAACAGATTCGTAAAAGTATAGCTAGAGAAAGTGCCGTTTACCAAAGCAATGCCTTCAAAGAAAAACCGTTTTTTCGCTCTCCTGTAATATGTATTTAAGTGCCGTAAGATAGGCGGTTTTGCAAAAACTTCGACGATAAGTTAAATGAAGTATTAAAATATGACGTGAAACGAAGGTGATAAGATATCCTTAGTTTGAATATTTAGAATATTAAAGAGGGTTGCCATCTGTTTAAAAAGGTGAACTCAAGTTATTTAATAAGTTAAAGCAATTATTAAAATTATGGGTATCAACCGAAATGGGTTTAAAAAGGTTTTATTTCTGGACTGTTTTTATGAGCGTTGTCACGTATTTAAAAAATCAAATTTAACTTAATTCATCAGGCACATGAAATACATATGTAGGTATGACAATATCAGAAGCAAGATATTTGTTTATTTCTTAACTATATTCAGGAGGGTTGCCAGGTGTTTCAGTCAGGTGAAGTCTTAGCTAACTTTCGCACAAATGCGAAGATGAGCACGAACACGAAGAAGACTACTAATACGGGAATAACGGAACTGGTAGTCAATATGCACATATGCTAACAGTTATTGAGAAATCTTTTAGCTTAACAACTTACCTCCAACCGCTACGCATGTTATATTGATGACTGATCCCTCGTTGTACGGACCCAATTTGTAATCTTTTATCGTCGCCCCTTTACTGTCCAGAATTATTATTGACTCAGGAGGTGCTAGAAATAAAATGAACAAATAATTTTTGTTATTGGTTAGATATAGGAAATAAAGCGAAGGTTTGTGAATGAGTAGGTGAGTGCATGAGTATGTTTGTTGCCCTTTCACGATAAAACGGCTGAACGGATTTCAATGAAATTTCGCATACAGATAGGGTATAGCTCAGGTTATCATATAGGATATTTATTAAAGACGGTTGCCACCTTTTAAAAAAATCTGTCAATTAATAAGTTAAATAAAATACTACAACAATGTGATCGAAATGGGTTCCAAAGCGATTTATTTCAAAAATACATATTTTTAATGGGATCAAACGAAAATTTGTCAAGAACGATTTTTTAATTCTTTACGAAGGCTGCGACCTGTTTATTTTTAGTTTTAAAATCAGTTTAATGAACAAGTAAATCTTAAAATTTAGTTAAGAAATTTTTAGTTCACAAATATTTTTTAAAGTGGCCGCCAGTTTATTAATTTTATTAGACCCGCAGATACTTACGTTATCCGCGGTTATCCGATATATTTTGTTCTCAGTTTATTTGCCACTCTTATTAGACTTTAAACATATTACTAATGTAAACAAAAAAAAAACATATACGTTAGTTGGAGTGGCCCCACCGAAGCTCCCTATTTTTCTGCCGTGACCCAAGGCTCCACTCGGATTTGTCACCGCATCTCGCACATGGGTTGCTCACGTTGCCAATAGGGCGCGAACGAGGCCGCAAGAGTCGGGATTGAGTATAGCCGTGCAACTCTAACTGCACACCCAGCGCAATGACTATACCCTATTTCAATCTTTAAGGTTCTTCCACCTTTTGTTTTTTTTTTGCAAGGACTTGTCAAATATCGGAAAAAACGAAATTTTTTGACAATTTGACACCGTTTTTCTCAAAAGCTGGAGCTGGTTTAACTTTAATGTTTACGGATTCTTAATCAACACAAAAAAGTCTATCAAAAACATCTTTTAACATTTGCTGCACCAAAATCAGTGTTGCCCTGTGTTATTAATGTTTACAAACTTTTTTAATCAATAGCTTTCTATTTCTAGGTCTTCCTGGTTAGTAGATCTTTCAATTAATCTTTTGAAAACAGAAATAGCTTTCAATATAGTTGCTAGAATAGAAAATTGCCATGTAGAAAGACAGATGTTAGAATTGGCCTGTTGGCGGTATTGTTTGTCTTTTAGCAAACAGTTTACATATAAATATTAAGCGAAATCAAAACAAGTAAAGAAGTATAAGTTCGGACGAAACCGAATTATATGTATATACCCGGCGCAGGTATCAAATATCGTCGTTCCAACTATCTCCAAATTTCCTAAGTCTTATTTATTGTTAAGAGATTGTTGTAGGTATTAACTTGGAGTAAGTGAGCGTCCTCAGTTACTGAAATATCGGAGTTTTCGTATATCTGAAATTTACTGTTATACCAGAAGCGGGTAAAGTTTTAATCCGATTTTAATAATTTTTAGAGAATTGATTTTCCGTACCAAGGTTATTAAATGCACAAATTGATAAGTCGGTTACCGAGATGCACGTTTGTGGTCATAAGTGGGCGGCGCCACGCCCAAAATCCAAAAATTTATAATAAACTAATTTTCTGCTCAGTGGTTATTGCATTAATCGATTTTGAGTCAATCCAGTAGTTACTGATTTATCGCAGTGTACGTGTTTCTGTAAATTACCGTTATATAGGAGGTTGCCCAATTTCAAAGATTTTCAATAAATTTCTTAGCGGGCTTCTTAGCAAGGCTCGTACCGAGCTTCGTAAGGATTGGTGAGCCGGCAACTAAGATACCGTATTTCATCATAAGTGGGCGGGGTTACGCCACTTTCCCAAAAATTTCCTAATAATATTATTTTGTACTAAAATTGTACTTGACATACTAATTTTCAACAATTTGGATCCAACATTTACTTAAATATTTCGAAAATACCGTTATATTAGAAAGGGGCGCGGTTACAGTCAGATTTCGGCCATTTTCGATAGCAACCTACGCCGGATAAAGGGTAACCTATATACCAAATTCCGCTGCGATATCTAAATTTTTTCTCGGGTTATCGTGTACACGGACAGACAGACAGACATCGGCTTCTGCTTTCATTCTGATAATTTATGTATGCATTTGTCTATATCTATCTGGATTCCTTTATAATAATAATAGATTGGCGCTTACACATATGTTAGTGTTTGGCCGAGCTTCTGCTCCGACTTGTGGCGTGCGCCTTGATGTTGTCACACAAAGCGGATGGACCTACAGTTTTACGCCGACTCCGAACGGCGATTGTATTTTTATGAGAAGCTGTTTTTTCATGGCAGAAATACACTCGTAGGCTTGCTATTGCCTGCCGAGGGACGACCGCTAATAAGAAAAACCTTTTTCTATATTTTTTGTGATGTTTCTTTGACCAGGGCTTGAACTCAGGTGCTGATGAGTGCGCACTGCGCACTGCTTACCACTACACCACAGCGGTCGATTCCTTTAGGCTGTTACAATCCATGATTCAATAATAAAAGGTTTGCTCAGGAAACCATTTTCTTTCTCTGTGTGCAAGCTTTTGTAAGGAAGTTAAGAGAGTGTCTAAACTCTAAGTCACTCGTGTACAAACAACCGTTATGCGAACAAAGTTATAATACCCTTGTGTACAAGTGCGTTGGGATATAAAAATAGTTTCCTTTATAAAACAATGAAATTTCAAAAAGCAAACAACTAAATAAAATCAGTTTCTAAAAATTAAAAAAAAAACCAAGTAATTTTTAAGCAAAAAATAAAACCGACCTCAAAGAATTATTGAAATCGGTTAAGGTGGGCCAAAGTTATGCGGTAACATATGTACATAAAAAAATATATTCCGACGAATTGATAACCTTCTACTTTTTGTGAAGTCGGTTAAAAATAATAAATAAAAAATAAAAAAAGGAAAAAAAACATTCCTGCCCGAGGAATCGAACTCGGATCTTTCGAATAGCATGCCAGTGCTCTGCTCAGTCAGCCATTGCGACTGCTGAGGGAGTGCGCGGAAAATGGTATATGAAATACTTATTTTTATGTTTGATATCAAACTGAAAGTAAAAAATGAGTTTAGCCACAAAAAAAGGCCGTAACTTGGAACATACTTACTTTTAACTCTGAGAGAAAACATTAACTAGAATATTTAACGATCGTTAGTTAAGTGCCCGTTAGAGCTTATTAATTAAGTGTTTCTGATTGTGACTGTAAATAAGATTTAATAATATCAAAATCATAATATATCTATCTTATATTAATTCATCAGACTTGAGTTATTCTTCTGAGAACATTGCAAGACGGAGCGTAAAGTATGTGACTCACCCGCCGAGTACCAGTGAGGCCTATCACAGATAAGGACTGGGAGCCATCGGGTCTGCACCTAAAAAAAAATCATTTTGGCCTCAGTCTCACACGGTTTAGTTACAAGTAGTTAGGTAGGAGAGTGCAGATAACGTATGTTACCAACATGAAAGTAAATAACTTCACAAAAAACATAGACGGTAGGTGGCGCGTGGTCGATATATTTCGAAAACCTGCATTATTGCTTGTATATATAATAACTGTATATTACTTACATGGAAAGGTATACTGCACAAAATAAATTCACCGGTAGGTAGCGGAGGAGTCGAGCTCTTTGGAGAACCCGTATTTATGGTTGGATTTCATATTTTGAAAGTTTGTTTTAAAAGCTTTTTATATTAACTAATTTACTTTTCACTAAACATATTTTAAAATATAAAAAAACGGTGGCAATGATACGGCTCGGGCGGGGCGCTGAGGCCGACCATGCTTAGAATGTCTTTTTTCAAAATTTTTCAAACAACGCAGGGTAGTACAATTGTAGCGTATTCTTCATTTTCACTCAGTATTAGATAATACGACGTACTTGAACCACGAAATACATTAAGCTTCAGCTCACTTCACAGATTTGAAATCGTATGTAAGTATATTTTTTCCAAATCTCTAAGCTGCATCGCGAATTTTTTATACATTTCTCCTCAGAATACCAAATTATAACGGAAATAAAATAATCCCAATACATTTTCCCCTGGTAATTCTTAACTTTGGTAAGATCTGTTTCATTATTATACATATATACACATATTTATATATATTTAATGCTTTTTTGCCACTTTCATTATACGCATTGCTTGTCGACTTCAACGTCGCCAACATGTCTCTCAACAGTTGAAAGCTAAATAAGCTCGATGCCAGTCAACCACTCAGTTGGTTAGGGCGCGGACTCGCACACATACGTACTTTATTTTGCTGATATACATATGAATTTGTACATACATACATATGTCCGTGAGTAGATAAAATGCAATGCAAGTGAGGGGAGAAGAGTTTTGTAAACGCCCACTAGCGTGCATGTGCGGCACGATCAAGCGTAGGAATTTTATTAAAAAATACTTATACGTCCCGGATGGCATAGCATGTCAACAACGCATGCCATACTTATGGGAATTTCCACATACATACTTATGTATAGTACATTTGTAGTTTTTTCTTCTGATTTAAGGGCGTTTAAAAGTGTGTGTGCGTTGGTAACTTTTGTTGTATTTTTGTTACACTGCTTTGATTTTCTCATACCACCCGCTGCCATGGGAAATGCAAGAAAGCAATAACATTCCGTTGAACGGGGAATGCGGGTGTGAAGCGAATGTCATGAGCTGTGTGACATTATGAAACATTTTCTGCTTATGTATGTATTTGCAGTGATTTTTTTAGATTTGTATTTGTATTTAGCACCTTTTTTCGTTTTCTCAACTGACGTAATTACACAGCAACGCCTTGGTCGAGGGTGTGGAATATTGATTTTTGTAGTGGAACAGATTTAAGGCTCCTTGCCATTCGAGACTTTTGAAGCAACTTAAATGCTTAAATTTGCAGAGTAAAAATCAATTTGTAAAAGTTTCAAGGTTTCGAGGTATGTTCAGTATGGCGGTGTGCAGAATATGGTTGGCATTTCGCACGCACACTAAAAGTTTT